AAAAAAGAGAGATAACCCCCACAGATGGTGAGGGACTGTGATCTCAAGTCAGCGACTTTAACCACTTCGCGCCAAACGGAGGCCCCTACTATATCCTGTTTGTTGTTAATGTATATAATTTTAGTGATCAATATAATGTGCACAAATGTTTGCAGTACATATTTTACATATTTCTCGCTGGTTTTGAAAATTGTTTTATAAGCATAATTATATGCATATAAATGTGACATTACTATATCCTGTTTTGTTGTAATGTCACATTTATAATGCATATAATTATGCTTATAAAACAATTTTCAAACAGCGAGGAATATGTAAAATATGTACTGCAAACATTGTGCACATTATATTGATCACTAAAATTATATACATTCATTTCTTATTGAAAAATTTTGACTGAGAAATTATAGAAAATAAATTTCTAATTACCTCCCTTTAATTTTCATGAAATGTTAAATTCGGTAATATCTTTATAAATAATGCTTTTTGAAATTTACAATATTGATTTTCGCGTAGGTGTACCAGAATCAGTAACTTTCTTACTGCTAGGTTTGGGCATTTCGCCCTGTAGCCATGACGTGAGCGACATAACAATTTTACCGTAAAAATTGATGTTAACGGACTGAAATCATTCAGAACTATCATTAAGTTTTTAATCCGGTCGCTATCATTAATGATTATTTTTAATTGAAAACAGTTTTGTGAAGCCGTGAAAAATCCATGCCACATCGCCTTACTCGGGTTAAAAAAACCAGCCATCGAAGTGCACTCGCGTGGTATATCATTAGGGAAGATTGCACATGTTTAGATAATCGGGAAAAAACAATCTATAATTACAGGGCCAAAACACCATTTTTGGGGAAGGGGCCTCAGCCTTTTTCTTGGGGAAAATATGCGTGATTTTGGCATACTTTGGGAAAAGGGTCTCAAATTTAACACAAACTTTTAACAAGTTCTTCAAAATAGGAAAGCAAAAGCACTGGAAAATATAAATAAGGCAGTAAAAATCCTTAATTCAACAACATCATTTAATTTTGTTCTAAATTCTATGGGAATTTTCAAAAGACTGGGGAATTTTGAGGACCAAACTGGGGAAAAAAAGAGGCTAGTTTGGTTGGGGAAGTAGCCTATATTCTGCCTCTACAAAGAAGGGATTTTGGACCCTGAATTATCGCCAAATCTCGTATTAAACTCGCAAAACTGTCACACAATTATACCCGTTTCGGGCCGATGCTCTCATTATTTACTGTTTAAGAGTAGGCGGTCTATCGCTTTGCTGACAGGTAGAAGGGTTGTATAAAGCAACGCTCCGATTGGATAATGATAATTAGCAGTCGTCATATGGGCTGATACAATCTCTGCTCTTTACATCGCCAAGTAATTACTATTTGGGAATTAAGATTTAATCGGCGATGTTGACTTCTCTTTGATCAATCGGGAGAGCGAAATTGGAATATACACGGCGAAGTTTTCGCCTGACTCGCCCTTCCGGATGAGCCCTGAACTATCTTCGCATATATTTCTGTTCAAAGTGCCCCTGCACATTTACATAAGAAATTCAAATGTTATGTTTTTAGGCTTTTAAACGTCAAATTACATTACAAATATTTCCCGTAACATTGGTCTCATTTGATCACTGTTGATCTCATAGTCACACGTTGAGAAAAATGTGCAGCCTGACCGTGAATCGAACCCGGGACCCTTAGAATGCAGTACCAGGGCACTACTGACTGAGCTATCACGCCGCTTACACATCTTCTCCCCAGTCCCCTGTAGTGTGAACAGTTCTGAACCATGACATACTCCCCTGCTATATTGAAATTTGTCCTAGAATAACAAAGAGTTACAAAGCAATGTGAATTAAACTGTGATTAACATGTCATGTGTCATAATTGGTGAAAAACTATATTCGATTCTTCTATTACCCATTTTCCTTCTTTTTCTTCATTCTCTTCTTTTTACTTTTTTTCTCATTGTCTGCAACATCTTCCTCTTGTTTCTCACTTTCCTGACCATCATCATCAGACATTGAATTTTCAGTTCCTTGGTCATTAACAATATCACAACTATTTGTCAAATCATAAGAAATGGTTTTATCTAATTCACCTTCTCCTGAATCAAAATTAAAGTTTGAAAGATCATAAGCAACAATACTGTCATCATTTTTATCTATGAAAAATTTATTTAAGAAGGAATTAGCTTCCTTTGCATCACTCGGTTTTTTGTTGGATTTTTTCTTCGATATAACATTTTCTCTTTTTTTAAATGTATCATAAATCAAATTATGTCTGCTAGAAGTTGCTGAATTTACAAGGGTAGCGTTCTTATTCTTAAGGCCAGATTTGTCTAAATTACTTTTAACAGCATTAAATGCCTTAATTATATTTCTATCCATGTCTTCATCACTACTAGTTTCACTCTCTGAAGAACTACCCAAATTATCGCTTTCAGAAGACATATTTTTTAAAATTTTAATATTTCACGTGTTTATTGCGACCTAAGGACATCTGACGGAAGTTTTTACGCACGGAAAATTGCAAAGAAATAGTTCTTGATAATTTGATATTATAATTAATAACTTTCCTATCACCTGATTAAATAAATATCAATTTCATAGACAAAAATATAAATTATTTATATTCTATCAACTAAATTTAGTAAATTTTGTAAGTTAACAGTTTTTTCCATATTTTTTGTCGGATGAAGAACTATTTTCATAATCTAGGGGAGGTAATTCACGTAAAGTAAAGGGGCAACTTCCGGAATAAACAAAAACAAAACAAGGAAATCATAAGGATCACAGGAATGTGAATAGAAATGATTTTCTTTACATGAATAAACCAATAAACGAAATTTAAAATGCATTTTGACAATACCGCTGTTTGTATTAAAATTGTTCTGTTTTGTTTGATTACTTTCTGCAACTGTCAAAACTTGAAATGCGACGGGAATTCCTCAGATCCAGATGTTCGACAGTGTGCAGATCTCTTAATGGGACAATATCGCTGTGATGAACCCGAGATCGATTCTGTTACTCAACAAGCAAGAGGATGCAAGGCGAAAACCCGCACAGTAACTGTATCTTGTAAACCCGCCCCAGGAATTATATGTTATCCAGACAAAAGTTTAAGAGTAGTATCAGTAAAGCCATGTGAATTTGATGGTGAACAAATCGGTTTTTACCAAGAAAAGCCCTGCAAATGGACTAATGGGTATAACTTTGAAACAGCACTTTTGTTGTCAGTATTTCTCGGAATGTTTGGAATAGACAGATTTTATCTTGGTTACCCAGCAATTGGACTATTAAAATTTTCTACCTTAGGATTTTTCTTCCTTGGACAACTGATAGATGTTTTATTGATAGCCACACAAACAGTTATGCCATCAGATGGGTCAGACTACATCATTGATTATTATGGAGCAGGACTTATAAAGTTGACAATGAATAATGAAACAATAATTAAACTTGATGACTTGTGATTCTTGAATTGTAAGTGTGAATTGGAGAATCAATACAAAGAAGGTCTAGCAGGTTCAAGAGAATGTCAATGCAGGGCTCACACTAGTCTCAATATTTCGACGGCAAGACAGACCGATTTTATAATCTGATATTTCATAGATGTCTGTTGCGACCATCGTCTATAATATAAAAAAAGCCCTAAAGCGCACAATTTGTTGGCCCACAATGTTCACAATTTTGGTTGTTGGGCAAATAGTTGTTTGGAAGTTAATACTTTTTAAGTATTTTATCATTGTTTTCCACTGGCGATTTAGTCAAGCAGCTTAAACCAAAAAAAAATCAAAATTTGCAATTTACGGTAAATTTTGGGTTGGTCAATATCCAGTTTATCAATTTTAAGACGATTTTTTGTGGCTAATTGACGGATATTTGATGGCTATTATATTGCTGGACAATATCTTTAAAGTACTTATACAATTTTACATCTTGCATGTATTTTTATCACCTCTGGCAATATGGTAGGCAGCATGTGACCGATAAAAAGTTGACACTCAATTAAATCCACCCCGCTGGTGTTATTTGGGTCTACTGCATTCTTTATCGATTTTTACACCTTATATAAACACTGTTGGAAGTAAAAAATAATCGCCAGATTTTGTAGCCAAAATGCAAAAATAATCGCCAATCTTATAAAATAATCGCAAATGGCGACTATGGCGACCGACAGCGTGAGCCCTACAATGGTTGAAATTGATCATATTATATATTCATCTGATCAACATTTTAAGTGTTAAGAAGTGTCTAGACTACCTGTTCCACTTACCTGTTCAGTCAATGCCAGCAAGATGTATATATATATGCAAGCCTACAACACATATATATGATATGGATAAACAGCATTATTTGGAATGAAAGGCAACTCCTGCTTCTTGACAAATAGTGTACTAAATATTGCAGAATTTTTACAAACCATTTTTAGCTGTTGATGACCAGATATTTTAATGATTTACAAATTATTTTAAACATTGATAATTAAAGTCATCATCTATGGACTATACATTGTATATATATAATCAAATAAGGATTTTTTGGAAGTTGTGGCTTAGCTGAATGGTTAGACTGACTAAAGTAATAATGTAAAGCAGTGTTTTTGTTCTTTATATAACTACTACCCTAAAACGGTACTGTTCCCAATAGAACATAATTATACATTAAATTCCCAATTTCCAATGTTTAAATTCCCAAAATGGCTGTTCAAAATTCCCACAAGGCCAAGAAATTTATCTGAAATCATTTAAATCCAACATATTCATATAAATCACCACTTCATAGTTCTACCTGGACAGTGGAAGCTGTTAGCTATCTTTATTCATGGTGATTAATCTTATTTATAGCTGAAAAAATGCATTAAGAATATGCCCAATGTAAGACAAAATAACACATTTTTTCCCAATCAGTTTGGTACCGGCACCATTCCCAAAGTAGAGAAAAAAAACGCTGTAAAGGCTTACAGCTTCCTACACAATCAAACTAAAATGAATTCTATATATACCAAATAAAGTTGTGTTATCAGCAATGTGGAATTTTCATCTAAAACACTTCTAAAACATATCTATCTATAACAGTTAATACATGATATTAAAATTTTTTACAAAGCCAGGGCCAAAAATCCTTCTTTGTAGGCTGCTTCCCCAAACAAACTAGTCTCTTTTTTTCCCAGTTTGGTCCTCAAAATCCCTGTCTTTTGAAATTTCCCATAGAATTTAGAACAAAATTATGTGATGGGGTTGAATTAAGGTCTTTTACTGCCTTATTAGTAATTCCCACTGGTGCTTTTTGCTTTTCTATTTTGAAGAACTTGTTAACAGTTTATGTTAAATTTGAGACCCCTTTTCCCAGAGTATGCCAAAATCATGCATATTTTCCCCAAGAAAAAGGCTGAGACCCCTTCCCCAAAAATGGTGTTTTGACCCTGAAAGTGATTTTAATAATCAAATCTTATTTCTATGCTACCCGAAGGCCATGTGCAGTGCCAAAGAACCATAACTCTGTTTTGCACCGTTTTTGAATTATATCCCCTTTTAGAAAAATCTTGTCAGGAGCATAACCATAAAATCCTTTGACATAATTTGTTAAAACTGCACACTGTGGTAGAGGGCATTGAACTTTGTCCGGGACATAGCTCTCAAAACCATAAGATGTATCAACAAGAAAATGTGTAGGTACATGTAGATAGATCTCATTTAATAAAAGTGCAATCCGAAAGAACCATAACTCAGTCATGCTTAATTTTGGAGTTATTGCCCTTTGTTCATTTTTACACTGAACTTTGTCCAGGACATAACTCGACACTTTAAGAGATATGAACAAAACACTTTGTAGGTAGATTAATCTCATCAGGCAGATGAGCAGTGCAAAGGAACAGCAACTCTGCCTTGCCTGATTTTTTAAATTATTGCCCTTTGTTCATTTTTTCATTTGGAACTTGGTCTGTGACATAACTCTGAACCTTTAAGAACTTTGTAGGTAGATGTCAGCAAAAGAACCGTAACTGTGCCTTGTAGATTTTTTGATTGCCCTTTTTCAATTTTACACTGTGAACTTTGTACAGGACACAAGACAATACCGTGAATTTACCAGAGGTATCAACAAGAAACTAATGCGGTAGATAGATCTCATTGAGCAAAGGACAGTATATCTGCGACTGCCTTGCCTAATTTTGGAATTATTGCACTTTGAACTTTGTCCAGGACATATCTCTGAAACTAAATGTACATGAGGTGTACTTTTCTGTATCCAAAACCTATTGGGGGGGGGGGGAGCATCACCCAGTTCAAACCGGCTCTTGTTTTATACATCTGTTACTGAAAACTTTTCAAGGTCTTTTGTTTCAATCAAAAAGGCAAACAAATCTGTGATTATTTAATAGATACAATGGTCATGACAAGACTGTAAAAATGTCACTTAAAGTTTGTTGTTTCCTTAAAAGAATACAGGTTACAGATGGTGTCAGATAATCAAGTTAAAGTGACAAATTATGCTCATATTTTCATAGTCAAGATGAGCTGAATTGACTTTTTATTTCAAAAGATTGACTGTTAAAATGGTGTTTGACCAACAGTTTGTATTGGTAATGTTTAGGATAATATTTAACATCTGCCTTAAATATAAAAAGACTGCCCCACTCTTTTTATAAACTGAACATTACAGGTAAAATCTAATTAATCTTTACAGAAATTATGTTTATGTCTGGGTAAGCGAAGTAAATTATTAAAGTAAAAGATAATATGGCAATATAAAAGCTTATTTTGACTCTCACCTGTTTACTATATATATATATATATATATATATATATATATATATATATATATATATATATATATATATATATATATACCATTGAATGGGCAAAATGTCACTTAATTGAGGCATAAAAATTAATATTCATCATTCTGTGCAATGTTTGTTCATTATCATATTTTACATGTAGGTCTTATACATTTGTATACAGTTATCAAATTATATGATTCCTCTTGATGTTGTGAAAAAAACGTAATAATAATTTATTTACTTTTTATCTCCAATTGAAATTCTGTGGAAATATCTCTCAATAAACATGTTGTAAATACAATAAATTTTGCTAGCTCAGGGTGAGCTTATAGGATCGTTGAATGTCTGTCATCTGTCGTCTGTCAAAATTTGTTTGTTAACACTCTAGTGGTCACATTTTTGCCTTAATCATCATGAAACTTTGTCAGGATGCTTGTCTAGGTAATTGCTTGGATGAGTTCAAACATGTTTTGATTCAAATATCCTGGAAATTGGTCTGAAGGTATGTTTTGATGATTTCTAGGTGAAGATTGAATATTGGGTCACCTGGGGTCAAAAACTAGGTCACATCTCCCAAATATAGAAACACCTTGTTAACACTCTGATGGCCATATTTTTTTACTCAATTGCCATCAAACTTAGTCAAGATGCTTGTCTAGTTAATTGCTTTGAGGAATTTGAACATGGGTCATCTCTGATGAAAAACTAGGTCACAAAAGCTGAAAAGTAGAAAAATCTTGTTAAGTTTCTGGTGGCTACTGTTGTTATCCACATATCCTGGAAATTGGTCTGCTGCAGTTGTTTTGATGATTTCTAGGTGACGTTGGAATATGGGTCATTCGGGGTCAAAAACTAGGTCACACCGCCCGAATAGGGCAAAGACGGCCCTAGATAAGATTGCACACCTGACCCATAGAACTCACAGGAGCAATTACTAAGACAAGCATCCTGACCAAGCTGATAACAATTAAGTCAAAATGTGACCACTAGTCTAGAGTGTTAACAAGGTTTTCCATATTTAGGAAGTGTAACCTAATTTTAGACGCCAGGTAACCCATATTCGAACTTGACCTAGAAATTATCAAAACAAACTTGCAGACCAATTTTCAGGACATTTGGATAAAAACAGTAGCAACTAAAGAGTAAACAAGATTTTTCTATTTGTAGCTCCTATCACCTAGTTTTTCATCCGAGGTGACCAATGTTCGAACTCATCCGAGCAATTAAGTAGACAAGCATCCTGACCAAGTTTGATGACAATTGAGTAAAAAATGTGACCACTAGAGTGTTAACAAGGTGTTTCTATATTTGGGAGATGTGACCTAGTTTTTGACCCCAGGTGACCAATATTCAATAGCAACCCGGTTTTTCCTTTAGCAACTATTTTCTTTCCACTCCAACTACTGACTTTTATACCAACCCGTTCTTTTCCTTACCAACTACATGTAGTGACTTCCGTAGCAACCTGAAATAGACTGATTTTCATAGCAACCATTGATCTTGAGCGATCAGTGATTTCCATAGCAATCGGTGACTTTCCATAGCAACCATTGACTTTCAATAACAAAAAGTGACTTCACAAGCAAACAGTCCTTATTTAGCAACCATAAACTTACCAGTCATGAACTCCATACCAGCATGTGACATTCCATACTGACATCTGAGTTTTCATACCTACCTCTGACTTCCAAAGCAACCATAGTTTGGATATATATAAACTCTACTTTTCTCGCTTACAAGCAAGGTAGAAAAGGAGGTTTAATATTACAAAAAATGTAAAATTTTTAACATGAATATCTGAGATGGTTTTGAGTCAATTTGGAAACTGCTAACAATACGAAAAAAAGAGTTGTCAGAAGTATCCGCCCTTTATATAACTATGTAATCATATGTAGTTATTTGAAGTATTCCAAGTTTAAAGTGAATATACTCGGGTACGTATGTTAACACACGTACCCGATATACTTGATATTATTATACACACCGTATTACCGGCGGCAGTGATGGCAGATCACTGCAGTGATGGCAGATATCTGAAAATTACCGATCAATATAGGTAGGTTATAAATTTGGTTGGTTTAATTATATTACACAAATACGGCCCATTTCATTGCTATAAAACTATTGTCCATTGAATGGAGATACTGTAAGGTAATTTTGGACTCGTTTTTTCCTGTTTTCAGACTATTTTGAGCAGGTTAAAAGTGAAAGCCATAGAAAAATCCGTGAAAATGTCTGTTTTCTGTTCAAAATATCTCAAGTTTTAAGTAAATGGCAGGATTTCCTGTTATCAATATAGACGTTCATCCATTGGGGTCACGCAAGCCAAATATCTACCCCGTGAGTCTTTTCTTGAAAGTTTTACAGACGCTCAATCTTGTCCGGTCGAAGAAAAAATGCTGCCGTTGTAGGCAGATACATATTATAAATGCTGCCGTCGATGGCAGAAATACCATGAAAGTGGCTAACATTCTAACAGAAAATCAAGTTCAATCTTTTATCAATTCCTCTTTTCTTTGCGTCCTTTTAGTCAGAATTGAGACGTTAAACTATCATTTCTAATAATTTCTCAAGATAGAAAAGTTATTAACCCATTACCCCATGAGCATCTTGTGAAAAATGGCTGTTTTCATTTTAAGGTCTCCCGTTACAAGTTCAAGTTGCTATAAAACTATAAAAAAACTGCTTCAATACTAATCAAACTTGGCACAAATGTTGACTGGACCATTGCCTTTGTAACAACATGTTCAGTCTGAAATTTCCTGTTACCATAGCAACTAGGGGACGTCTCAAAATTGCCAAAAAGTCACTATTTTGCGTTGATTTTTTCCATCAAAATTGATTACAAAGTGCTGCCACTTCTCAATGGATTGAGATAGAGTCAAAGGCTTTTCAGCATTGGTTACACGTTACCTTATGATCGACCTGGGGCCATTTTTAGCCTCCCACAAGTTCAAAGTTTTCTTGGCGATGAGGGGGACCCAGCCCCCCTTCAAATCCCCCAAACAGAAGGGGGCACATCCCCCTTCTGGTAACCCCCTGATGTATCTTTTGGATGGGGGTGGGGGGCCGCGCCGAAAAAGTGGTCAATTTTTTAAACAACAATTATCAAACAAAAACAAGTGTTTGGGGGCCTAAATAAGGCATTTTTTCACCATTTGAGAAAGCAAAAAAGGAGGGGGGTGAAAAAGGCGTAGAAAGGCGTATATATCTGGTAATGGGTTAACAGAAAATGATGAAAAAAAACGAAATTACCCAAAAACGCGTTTTTCCATGTTAAAACATGGCCTCACATATAATTTTGAAGAAAAATTGCTGTTTTGTAGATTTTTTTATTTTTTTTTTCATTAATGCGGTATGTGCATCGAAAAAAAGCTTATTAGCAACATGCAGTTACAATACAAAAAGTTATTATTTAGTACCACAAAATTTCACTATAAATACAGACATGAACATGAAAAACTTCATTTTTTTCTATATTCATGCATGTGTGCTTGATCTGTTGTGTCTGTCAGTTACATGCATACAATACTATATGTATCTTAAGTTTAGCAGCGCACTCCCCTTTTAAGACATAACGCCAATTGCATATTACAGCAAGTAACTTCTGTAAGTGGATATTCATTTGCTAGCATATGACATTATTTTCTCGAGGTAATAATGTTCATCGCTTTATGACAAATAAAGACTGAAATTTACTTAATCGACGCAGATTATAAATTATTAAATTGATGTAATAAAGGGGAGACTATTAACCTCGCAACTGGCATCAGTGTATCATAAAACAATGTATGTTAATGTAAAATGGAAAGATAATATTATTGACAGTTCAAATATTTTCCTATATTATCAAGTTCTTGAAAAACACGACAACGTGGATTCATTTCTTTAAATTTTCATGTTTGTAATAGCGTTGTAGTTTGCCTTTGAATTACATTTACTATTCTAAACTATTAACAACAGTTCTAACATCACGTGCCATTTAACTATATATTTTTTCATTCATTTTAGTTGTAACCATGACAAGTTATAAAGATGAACCTTTCGATGATTCATATATCACAAGATGAAAATAAATCCTGTATTTATAGGAAAAAAACTAGAATTTTTTTATTTGTTATATTCTTTTTCTCTTTTTTGACCTTTCAATTCATATGAACAGATCAAGCACACATGCATGAATATAGAAAAATGAAGTTTTTCATGTTCATTTCTCTATTTATAGTGAAATTTTGTCGTACTAAATCATCACTTTTTGTATTGTAACTGCATGTTGCTAAAAAGCTTTTTTCGATGCACACACCGCATTAATAACTTTTCTATCTTGAGAAAATATTAGAAATGATAGTTTAACGTCTCAATTCCGACTAAAAGGACGCAAAGAAAAGAGGAATTGATAAAAGAATGAACTTGATTTTCTGTCAGAATGTTAGCCACTTTCATGGTATTTCTGCCATCGACGGCAGCATTTATAATATGTATCTGCCTACAACGGCAGCATTTTTTCTTCGACCGGACAAGATTGAGCGTCTGTAAAACTTTCAAGAAAAGACTTACGGGGTAGATATTTGGCTTGCGTGACCCCAATGGATGAACGTCTATATTGATATAGGAAATCCTGCCATTTACTTAAAACTTGAGATATTTTGAACAGAAAACAGACATTTTCACGGATTTTTTCCAAGGCTTTCACTTTTAACCTGCTCAAAATAGTCCTAAAACAGGAAAAAAACGAGTCCAAAATTACCTTACAGTATCTCCATTCAATGGACAATAGTTTTATAGCAATGAAATGGGCCGTATTTGTGTAATATAATTAAACCAACCAAATTTATAACCTACCTGTACCATTTGGTAATTTTCAGATATCTGCCATCACTGCAGTGATCTGCCATCACTGCCGCCGGTAATACGGTGTGTTATAGGAAATGAACCTTAACAAAATGATTAACAGGGGACAAAATAATCAAAGGGGAATAACTTTTCAAAATATTATTTCAGGATTATCTTTCCTTGTGATATGAGCCAGTAAACCAATTTTGAAGCGAATAGTTTTAATAGTGTATGAAAAATTGACCTTAATTAAACCATTATTTATTACCGCTTAATACCCGTGACCTTGACCTACTGACTACAAAATGGGTTTAGCAGGTAGAACTATAATCAAGGTGCATCAACGTATATATCAAGGACTACTTACTACTAAAAGGGTTCAAAATGCCAATTGTTTCAATGTTATAGTATTGTTAGCAGAGCTGCATTACTGGTACTGGTACTGGTACTGCAGTACGTACTGCAGCGATTTTGCAAGTACTGGTACTGATACTGAATTACTCTTACAAAATTTTGCTACTACTGGTACTGGTACTGCATTACTGTCTTAAAAAGTGGTACTGGTACTGCATTACCCAGTACTTTTAAAAATATAAAAACTTATAAAAATAACATCAACTTTTCTCATAAAATAAAGCTGTAAATTACATTAACTATATTTTATTTTTGTGAAAAAGTAAGTTATCAAATCTAAAGATAATTTGCTGCAATATTCCTTCAAATGTTACCGTAGTATTCATCATAAAAAGCACCAAAGACTTTAAGTAAAAATTAAATTAAGATAAACAGACTCAATAACTCTTTACCCTAAAATATCTTTATTAAATATTTTATTACTTTGTATTTAATAGTAAAACAGCAAAATAAACACTAATTAATTTCTTCTATTCTAAATAATCCCATTTCAAGTGAAAAAAGTGATATTGTTAGCACTATAAAAAAGTTGTTATTTACTTTGGTATAAATTGAACAGAGGTGTGAAAGGCAACAAAAGACTGTTGTGTTTTAAATGAAAGATGATTGCCATTGTATTTATACACTTGACTGGTTACTAAACAATTAGATATGACATGAATATATGTTGTAAATATTGTTGGAAAAAAGTATGTTAAAACTATAAAGTTGTAAAAATGTTATGTTAACTTTAAAGTAAATTATGATTTTATTTCTTTGCTGAATAATATTTGCAATTATTTGTTTGACACTGTGTATTTATTCAAACTTTGATGAATATATAAAAGTAATGGTACTGATACTTAATTACTACACCAAAAAAGTACCTGTACTGCAATACCAAGCTAAATTCTAGTACTGGTACTGGTAATGGTAATGGTACTGCATAATTTGCCAAGTACTGGTACTGGTACTTAAGTACTACACCCTTAGTACTGATGCAGCTCTGATTGTTAGTATAGAAATGAAATCTTAACCAAATGGTTACTTTAGCATATATATTGTCCAAAGTTTAAATATTTAGCATGGTGCATCGTTTTTGAGTCCTCCACAAAGGTTTAATGATTAACGCATCCAGGTTTAAATTTGCTCTAGCCTTGAGAGTGTCGCTTACAATAAGAAAAGTGTGTGTTTTTTTTTTTTTTTTGGGGGGGGGGGGGGGGATGGGTGTAAAACTTCACGCTAGAGCTATTATAATGATAATGAAGGGTATTTTAAAGATTTTATCGATTTTACTGCATACAAACTAAATGTAAATCAAGTTGTTATACATTTTAAAAATCGTCGGATATATATGATATGATTTAAAACAAATATGGAATATACGTCAACCTCGATCCGAGCGTCACACACAATGGATTTACTTGGCTATAGTCGTGAAATGATTAAAATTCGGCAAAAATATTGCGCTTATTTTTCAGAGACTGTTGACACGCCTTATGGAAAATCAACGGAGTTTTATGCCGGAAGTAAGGCCGAAGGATTAACTGCACCATTTGAGAATGATATCGATTCGGTTAGAGTTCCTTCACATATCATTTGTACAACTGAACCTAGAAAACATCAACACTTATTAATACTTCTTTTGGACCAATATGCTACTGCGCCTGGTTACACGCGGCTTGTTCACCACAATCTACGGCCTGAACTTTACGAACAAAATAAAGAAGTTATGGTGAATATATTAGGGAAGCATTATCTGTCGAGTACAGCGGTAAAGGAAGCATGGAAGAAAGCAAATGCAGGCTATGAGGATATTGGGATAGACGGTTCTGTTACACATCATGCTTACACGGGAAATCACCAAGGTCCGTCATTAACTAGTAATTTCAGACTGATCAATATGAATCTTGACATTGTGAATGCATTCACATGTGACTGTCCGGAATTATTGGAACCATGGATAAATCGAAGCCGTAAGCACAACTGGCCACCACCCAATGTTGTTAAAGAGATCTCTTTAATGGAAGGTCACGTGGTTGCTATAGGCAACAAGAGCAGCGGTAATGAGTTTCTGGAATGGAGAATTTGTTTTACTAAAGCTGAAATAAAGCTGATACAAAGTTTGAATGATTGTCAAACAAAGTTATTGATTCTCTTGAAGATGATTGCAAAACAAGAACTGAAGCCGCTTTGTCGTGAAATGACGTCATACGTCATGAAAAACGTAGTACTTTGGTTATCGGAAATGTATCCAAGCAATGTTTTTGTCAATGAAAATTTGATTTCCTTACTGAAAATGGCTCTACAATTTGTAAAGATATGCCTCATAAATAATGCTCTTCCAAGCTTTATGATTGAAGAAAGAAATCTTTTCGCAGATCGAGTACGACGGGAAGAAAAGTTGGCGGTCTGTGTAAAAATTGACGAGCTTCAGATAGAGGGACCGGACATTATTCTCCGATGCAAAAGGGTAGCAGAAGGTATGGACAAGATCAATACTTGTCCAGATGATTTTTATCGATATTCTTCGAAACGCCACATGCTGGAAATATCTCATTTAGAGGGTATCGTGTATGACATTGAAGCCGAAAAAAACCATCAACAATATGCCATTCGGCCTGAAAGTGTGCTTAGACTTCTTAAACTAACAGATAACAACCCGATGGCATTTTTTTCTATTTTGTCATGAAGTTGGACAATCCTGAATACATAGTCAGACATAACTTTTGTATAAACGTTGAATCGGTTGTTTTTGTTTCAGTAACATATTTAAGGTAACATGCTTATGAGCTGTAATAGGAAACAGCTTGTCATTGCTTGTTATTCTTTTGTAGAAATTATTAGACGTTGATACTCTAATTATAAGCAATTTTAACCAACCAGTTAAAAGAAAACTTTTGGTGGCACGCCCCTCTTAGCAGTAACTGACTTTTTCCTAACGTCAGAGTTACTTAAAGATATACTATGCTCAAATTTGAAATATTGATAATTGCTACACGGTTTCTTTGTAGATATAAAATAAACATGTTTTGATGCCATACAAAGTTGATATGTCATGCGTTAAATCCAACACACTATGAGTGGACACATAATGAAAACATAGTGCCATTAAAAAAAACTGGCAGTTTTTTTTAAAGAAAGGACAAGCTTTACTTGATCCGAAATAAGGAAGACAGCTTCCCAACATAGTTTGTACATTCTTTTATTTAAATATGACATATTCAGTAAGAATTTTATAGATTTCAATAATGTCTGCAATAAAAATATTTTACTCAAAGATGAGCATAGTATATAATTAAAAGCATGTTCAAAGCCTGTTGTACAGGGGTTAGATGAAATGAGAAGAATATTTTACAGAGGAATTTTATGTCGGGAAATAACAATGAAATTTGAGAAAAGATATTATATACATTTTTTGTAAGTTTTTAAAATGTATTGATATCTCAAGGTCCAAGTAGCCACGAGAGAATACACCAATATAACAAAACATACTCTTGTGAAACTATAATTGAGCCGCGTCATGACAAAACCAACATAATGGGTTTGCGACCAGCATGGATCCATACCAGCCTGCGCCTCCGCGCAGTCTGATCAAGATCCATGCTGTTCGCTGTCAGTTTCTCTACATGCAATAGGGTTTGTAAGCGAACAGCATGGATCCTGATCAGACTTCGCGGCTGGTCTAGATCCATGCTGGTCGCAAACGCACTATGTTGGTTTTGTCATGACGCGGCTCAATTATGTTTACGTATAATTACGTATGTACATTAAAAATTAGAAAACTAATATAAGAAATTAACAATTACAATTTTAGAAAGGGAAAATGGTAACTAATCACTAACTAACTAACTAACTAACTAACTAACTAACTAACTAACTAACTAACTAACTAACTAACTAACTAACTAACGTATATATGTATTCTGCATTATAGTCTCATCCATACAAAACATATGCAACATTTCAATTACAAATTGTAAAATATACAATCATAAAATTGCATGTTTGGTCATTATGATAAGAATTATAAGACTAATACATAGTTACAGGGGAGACAACTCCTCAGCCCATATTGCAAAAACTGAAGAGTTATCTCTCTTTACCATGCTTTTTTGCCTTATTTATTTAATCAAATATACCCGATATCGACAAATATTAATATACACACAAATCTTAACATTTTACAGCGGAATAAATCCAAATATAACTACATGTATATGAGATTTACTTGAATACACCACTTTGTTATATACATTATCTAAATATCAACAGCTAAAAGCTACTAAACTACCCTTGCTAATCTGTTAATAAAATCTACATAAACAAGTCTCATAAACATTAACAACTAGATACTATGACAAAATGTCCGTTTATCAGAAAAATAGTTTATAATATAGGGTCTAACTTTAATCAGAGTAAACAAATATTAATTAACAAAGATACTTTAGTCTGCCATAAAAGTTAATTAACTACATTGTAAATCATAAAAATGTTATTGTAAGTTATACATAAGATAACACCAAGTCAGTAAAAGAAGAAATACATTTCTAAAATTACAAATAATACTGTAAGATAAATGTAATTATAATGTAATACACGTAAAAAATAATATTATTAAAATGTTCTGTTAAAAATGCGTGGTTCGATCTCTTCTTTTCGTAAAGCTGATTCGTAATATTTTGTATAGGTTAGTGTTTAATAATAAGTATTAAACAATGTTATATTTTGCCTTTTATAAATTTTATAAGTTGTTACTTTATAAATTCGTCCATTGATCATCATTTGTCCATTGATCATCATTTGTCCATTCATTTGTCCATTGATCATCATTTGTCCATTGATCATCATTTGTCCATTGATCATCATTTATCCATTGATCATCATTTGTCCCTTGATCATCATTTTTTGACATCAATGAAATGGGGATAAATATTATATACAAACCATCTTAAATTCTACAGCATTCTATCTGCGTTTAACTGATATAAAATGTATCGTTTTACGCTGAATAGAAAGAAAATTGAGCCGCGTCATGACAAAACCAACATAATGGGTTTACGACCAGCATGGATCCAGACCAGCCTCCGCATCCGCGCAGTCTGATCAGGATCCATGCTGTTCGCTATCAGTTAATCTTCTTGTAATAGGGTTGGTAAGCGAACAGCATGGATCCTGATCAGACTGCGCGGATGCGCAGGCTGGTCTGGATCCATGCTGGTCGCAAACACATTATGTTGGTTTTGTCATGACGCGGCTCAATTTTCTTTCTATTCTATTCTATTCTATTTTATTTCACCCACCCCTTGAGTAATTTTGTAACGAAATTCGACGTATGCAGACTACGTTTGAGACTTCAAAGTGCGGCAATAATGTTCAGCTTATCAGGAGAATTGTTGTAGAGTTTTACTTATATACATGTATATAAAACAACAACAACAATGTTCCATTTCAAATGCTTAAAATTTAAAATGAGACCTTAGGATGAAAAAGCATATTTATATTTAAAATCCCCGCCTTGGATTTAGCCGTTGATATTTTGCTTATTCTTAACATACTTGCTATTTCGATGAGCACGTCACAATTTCTGATAGATAATTATATAGTCGATTTTCCGAACAGAAACACAGACTGGAACCCAGACTAGTAAAGTCTAAATACAGGTACATTTCAAAATAACGTTATACCTAAGCAGGAATTAAGGAACTGTCAGCAGTGTAAAAGCAACTATATAGTTTTATATAAATTTAGAAGTTTACGGAAATTCAATCATAGATTAATACGTAGGTTACAAGAATTTCTGCAAAGCTATACATTTTGTATTTCCCACACTTTGAGTTGATATATACTGTGAGTGATATGTATTTAATTTCACCTATTAAAACCCAGAATTTCACGTGTGAGCAAAAGCTGTTGCAGCAATTTGACAGAGTATATGCTAAATAACTTTGCGAAAATTTGACAAATTAAAATATACGGTTCATAAATGAAATTTAGACAATTATGTTAGCGTGAAGCAACAGTCATGTTTGAAACGTAAACTCAGTGGGTGTTGGATTACAGATGTAGCACGTTCGATTCAACAAGTAAATAAACATTTTCAATACATTTTTTTCTCATTTTGCTATCATAATGTTTTAAATAACGAATAACTGAGGATTCACCATAAACGCTGTATTCAAATCATTACATATGTACTATCAAATAGGCCTTTGCAATTATTCATTAGTCACTGTGTGGCAAAATTTATGGTAGAATTTATTTTGAACAGGAAGATTAAAAAAAATACTTTAAACACGAAACATAACGAAACGCTGTAAACACGTGTCTGCGGATGTTTTACAGAACATATATGGTTTTATTCACTTTGAATTCGAGCATATCAATTATTCGAAGTTGGTCCCCCGTGAAGGTAACGTCGTATACGCTCAGCCACCGCTAATGGTCCCTCCTACCGCTCCGAAAGTTTTGAGCTGCACAAAATATTGCGAGCGACGAGGAGCGGGTAATTTTCCGCTCCGGCAAAGTTCACCACCGCTCCAACAACGCCCAGTCAAAGTTTGGCACCGCTAGACGCAAGTTCGTGGACGCTTCGGACTGCAAGGCCAACGCAGAAATCTTGAACGCTGGACCACCGCTGCTTCGCCTGCTTTGCCCGGGCGGTGATCAAACGGTGCACACACTTTGGTTGAGCGGTTGTAAACGTTTAGCGAGCGGACACGGGATTGCTGGAACTGTGTCGGTTGTTGAAGCAGTGATCCTTTGCAGTGATGATCTTTGGTTTGGCATTGGTATGGAGGTGTCGGAGCAGGACCAGAATTTTGCTATACATACGGGGAGAAACGGACCAGGAGCCCATTTGGAATCGAGCTGCTGTTGAGTGCATACCCCATTTACATCGTATTTGCTCAAAGTTAAAGTAAAGCTGTACTACACTACCATGGATGCTGAGAGACTTGCTATGATTGGTGCACTAGTCTAGCAGTAGAATCAGAACCTCCTCAGATTGCAATAAGCTGTTGAGAGAAAGAGAAGAGGGAGAAGAAGGAGGAGAGACTATAACAGAACTTCTATCAAAGCGATCAGCTCCGTAGTCTTAAGCTGTATACCGCTAAGCCAACTTTTAATCCCCGCCGAGCCAACGCCCGCATGCGCAGAACGCCGCTCTATCAATGCTTGCGTCACCACAGACGCTTGGGGTCAGATCCTGCCACCAACGTGATACACCCCTGTAAACACTCTATCAGAAATATTTTAATATTTAAACACGAATGGGACATCTATTTCAACGATAAAACTGGTTTTCAAACAATTTTTACAGATATGGAAAAAATACCGTATACCATCAAGTCTCAATAATCTACTTCTTTGCAAATCAACAAATTTTTACATGTTGTTTATGTATCGTTTACTTACGGCGAAATACGATCAATTCAAGTTTTATAAAACAATGAAAATAAAATCAGAATCAATTAATCCCGATCTTTTTTAGTATACAAGTGGATTACTTCAGAGTTAAGGCCCTTGACCTAGTAAAAAATGGCAATTTTCAATTTGTGTTGTGTGTAGATCAAACAATATTTGACCTAGAGTCATATTAAACTTTACAAAAAATGTTGTTCATCATGTGAAGTTGTGCACATAGGGGTTAGCTTGTGGATTTATTCATAATTTGTTGAGTTATTGCTCTTGATTTTGTTAAAATTTGCATTTTTTCATCTTGTGTCATGTATATCCAAACAAATATGTGACCTAGAGTCATGAAACTTGAAATAAATTTGTGTCAGCATATGTAGGTGTACACCATGGTGTTTGCTTGTGGATGTACTGGGTTATTGTCCATGAATTAGTAAAAAAAACTTTCCAAAATGTTGCGTCATGTGCACACAATCTTAGCAGGATGCGAAATCGTCAGTAAAGTTGATGCATATCATAAACCAGTATTCATTTAATTCTGATTATGCGTTGCGGTCTAAAAAGGTTTGCGCAAGGTGGACAGGTGATGGCAGTTGGGTGTATATGTTTGAGCCTCAAACAAGAAAGTCCGGTAAAAACATTGGTGACTACGTGTAAGTGCTACTTAAGATCAAGATGAAACAAATAGAAAAGTACCTTACTATGTTTGATTATTATATATAAGCATCTCTAAGTTGACCCCTGTTACAAGAACATTTTATAACTGATTATAGTTTTCAAACGCAAAAATGAAAAAGTTTGGTACATGGTCCTATCCGGTAGAGGGTCAGAACAGAAAAAATATCTTTACAGGTTATATGGCCGTTAGGTACCGATAAGCGGATCGGGTTATACAAACTTTCAACCGCTAATTCTATACCATATATAACCTGTGCAAATCTTTATAACTGATACATGTGGGACAATAACCGTATACATTGCAAGCTGATTATATCAAAAGAAATGACTTTGTAGTTTAATAGGTAACTCTATACTTACCAGACAATGTTGGTTGTAAAGCTTATCAATAGACAGTAATAGACCATTTAGAGCGCGAAATTTCCAATGAAAAAGACAATACTTTAAACGTTATAAAACTGTCAAAAAAATAAAAAGGTTTTTTAAACTGCCTTATTTTTTATATGACTTGTGTCAAAATTTATAATTTATAAATTGAAAATTTCTCTAAAACGTGGATTATGGCGGCGGTATTAGATGTATCATCTAATAAGCTCCGCTCGGATAAGGTAAATTCTAACAATTATACATGAATATTCTCTGAATTAAAATATTTCTTTTGGCCGAAATTTCAGGAATAATTGCGAATATATTTTATTCTATTTACATGACTTTAATTTAAAAGTTTTACGTTCATTTTTAATGCCTTTCAAATTATCATGTAACGTCAATTTAGATACTTGATTGTTATAGGCAGATGTGACACGTATAGTCAGATGTGACACGTATAGTCAGATGTGACACGTATAGTAAGATGTGACACGTATTGGTTTGTACAACCCTCATGCATGTGTAGGGCTAACATTTAATGCGTTTAAGAAATATTTATTTCAAAACTTTTTTTGTGTTTTTTTTATTTTGTGTCTACGTTAAAAAAAACACTGGTAAAATACGTTGAGTGTTTTCCTCCATTAGAAATCTGCTGTACTGAAAATACAAAATGAGTATTAACATCGGAGCCGGTTGAAGGTCATCATAATTCGAATAATTCAGAGTCTGTTTTAGTCAAACGGAAGATTTGAATGCAAATATATGTTAGATCTATATATTAAAAAGCGTGCCAGATCCAAAAATATACATTTACGCCAATTTGTAACATTTAGCGGCATTGAAATGTGTTTTTTTTTAAAACGTAACAATTTTGTAGAATCATTTTGATGGGCTTGATTGTGCAAGAAAGGTTATTTAAACATCTTTCCATAGTGATTGATAATTTGATAGACAATTGTTATTTCGGTGGGAAGATGGTATAATAGCGGGGGAAATGAAGCATGTTTTTGCCTTTCGCCTGTTCTCGCACTGCAGGGTTAATGCAGGGATTTCATTACGGCGCTAAAATGGCTTGTCAGAGACTCGCATAATATAACTAATTCAACTCGTTCAATAAAGTCAGTATTGAACCTAAATTCATTCAATATCCTCTATATATTATCGAAATTTAATATTGTAATATCGAAATGATTAAAAACAGGATAACTTTTGAATAACTTTTAAATCAGACAACTTATGTTATATCTGACTCTTTGACACAGGAGTGCGTAGAAACACACTGCAGTCCTTGTGGTAGAGAAAACAGGAAGGTAGATGCTACAAAATTCTGTACTGAATGTGACGAACATTTGTGCGAGAAATGTGTGCACGATCACAAGAAATTCGTGGTGACCAAGACACACAGAATTACAGGTACTAAATTAGTCCTTAATGTGCCGAGTTACGGACTAAAATGTCCAAGATATGTTAAGTGACCTTAATTGTCTATCCTTTTTTTGCAATGAAAGTGATTTTTGAAATAGTATATGAAATGTTAACAACTAGTTCGTAGCTATGTTTCATTATGTTGAAATATAAGGCAGCTAAATAGAGACAAATGTTAAAAACTAGTCAAATAAAATGTGAGATTAAGACTCAAAACTTAGAGCCTGTTACATGGAAAAACTACATTCAGGATTTATTAAGAAAGGCTTATCTTCCAGGATTAAATGACATAAATTTTGTTGATGTCGAGTTATGCGAAGAACGGAATGCTATTCTAAATAACTCGTGAAATCAATAAATTAAAAGACGGAAACTCCCAAGGAAAAGATGGCAAAATTTATAAATCACCATCCCTGATCATTACTGCTATTTTTCATAATTTTTTTAAGATATTAGAAACTGGCGACTTTCCTTACATGTTGAGAGTGAGTACTATTGTGCCTATACATTAATCCAGTAATAAATTAGAGCCTACTATCTTAATCCTATATCTTAAATGCTGATTTTCAAAAAATCATTTGATGGTCATTTGCACCATAAATTATTCACTCTTTAACAGGTCGAAATATATTGAGTGTATTGTCGTCTTTATTATACTGCATTTTATTTCTCTAAAAATAATGCTTGCTGGATTATAAATTCGCTATAAACATTTCTGACATGCCATATATAAATGTTGTTTGCAATATAACCTTCGACTAGCGGCTCGGGTTATATTTCCAAACAACCGTTTATATTGGGACCATATAACATTGCACAAGGCAACGGAACGTTACTCGGACGATAATATCTTATTTATATGTTAGTGAGTTATCTCGCTTTCTACAAGAGAACTTACAAATGCAATTTTCAGATTTTTGCAATGATACAGACATGACTATTTATGAGTCAAAACCGAAATAATCGTGTTTCTAAACGGCGGTCCATTACGAACGTATAAACGTTGGTTATACATGTATAATGATCCGTTAATGTAACGTTACAAATACATGTACATGGAACTTTCATTCACACCAAAACTTTCTTTGTCAAGAGCGAAAATTATGCTGCGCAAGCAATGAAATCTATTTTGTGAGACAATCTTTTCATAGAACATTCGGTTACATGACAAATATTTAACATATTTGATTCTAAATATATGGTACAGAATATTCGAATATTTTAGAACAAGTACATATTCAATATTATACAGATTTCCTTGGAGTTACTTCCTCTGTAAATGATTGTTGTAGACTTCCATTATTAGTTTAAGGTATTCTAATATAAAAGTAGGAAGTCTTAGAAAATATTTATTGTTATACCACTGGATGAAAATAAATCCTGTATTTGAAGACAGCACTTAAATATCCTCAATGTATTACCGTCAAAACATACTGCTAATACCTTCTGCACTATAAGCAATTATAAATGTTTGCCGTTTTAGCTAAACAAAAACCGCCTAGTACACCAAGACAAAAACTGACAGACAGATGTACGCACCATGAAGGGAAGACAATCGAGTTGTTTTGTGGCGACCACGACGAGCTGTGCTGTAGTGTTTGTGTTGCCGTCGGCCACAGAGCTTGTAAAGATGTCATATATATACCCCAGGCGGCCGCCGGCGTCGAGAGCAGCATGGAACTACTCGAGGTCAGTGGAAACTTCTGATTAACATGTGATATACACATACAAATGTATATGATTTTTGATTTTTTTTTCTGTTTGAAATATTAATATAAATGACACAATTTTCTCACAACGTTGCTCGTGATGACGCCATGTGCATGATTTGTCTCAATAATTGATTTCTTGTGCCAATTCTGTACTCAATTGAAAAAGAAAGCGTGCGCTTGGTACCTTGAAAATTATGTATACATAAGGGCAAAATATTGGAGGAATAGGTTTCATAATTTGCAGAAATGCATTGACCATACATTGGTTTAACTTACATGTATATTGAAATATGATAATTATCAGAAGTTTAGTTTTGTGTATATAGCGGCTGGGTGAAAAGTAAAATTTGTAAAAATGTATTTTAACGCATTTTTGTTTCGTTACGTAACCGGTAACATTACTCAGTATCTGTTGCGATCATCTTATATGAAAATCAACGATAATGTTCGAAAAAGTATCCAAAGCTAAAACGCATTTTTAAAAAGGGAATATTCTGCAATCTTTATTTTTCTTCACTCAGCTGTTTACACATAAGCAAAGTCCTGATAATGATCAAATTTCAAATCATCGTGTAGTCAATAAATTTCTGCAAGTTTAAATTTCAAATATGCCAACATTTGCTTAAATAGGTGTACAAAACTTTCCTGTAACCAAGTGCACATTTTTCTTTGCAACTTATTATAAATTATTTAAATTTTTATGATATGTGCGTTTTCAGAGCTGTAAGGAATCCATTTTCTTTATTTCAACAGAATCCATAGAATCAATGGCAATAGTCAAGACTAAATACCTTGAAGAAAATGCGGTATTTTAAATATGCAAGCATTATCTAAGCCTGACATAGTGTGTGCACTAATAGCTCAAATAATAAAATACATTTTTATAGGTCAAAGAATCTATACGAAAGATAAAAGCTGACGTTGACACTCTCCGAAACCAACGCGAGGAGAATCAAAATCACGTGCAACAGCAGAAAGAGGACATCATTAACGCCATCTTGGACATGCGCATTAGAATCACGGATATCCTGGACAAGTTAGAACATACTGCCAGGCATGAACTTCAGGAAAAGTAATAAACATTTGTCTCAGGATATCTAACATAAAATTGAAAACGTGAATTAGTCGTATATGTTTTTTTAACATTAATACTACGGATTGCATTTTGAAAATTTTATTCACAACAGTATACCTGTAACGTATTTGCCATAAGGTTTGATTTTTGAAATTAATTGATGATTAAAGTTAGATAACTTTTTTCTTATATGAGGATGCAACTGAAATAGAAAGGCTCAATTTTCTGAGAACTTTAGTCTGATAAAACGAATATTCAAATATACTAATATATATATTTACAATTGTTGTTCCAATGTCACAGTGTAAGGTTCAACACAATACTGAAGTAATTGGTATATATCGATATTTCAGGTATGACGTCGTAATAACGAAGATAGATGATGACGTCAAGACGTGTGAAGACGTCTCTGATACTCTTGGTGGTCTTACCGCAAAGATAGAGACAACAACAAACAATGAACCAGAACTGTTTGTTACGCTAAAGAAAGCCAAAAAGAGTGTACAGGAAGGTTTGAGCAATATAGTTTTCTTCTATAGAGCGTTGTTTCTACAATAATATACGTATATACTTATATACACGAATATCATTACTGTATACTAAGGAAATATATATATCAATTTTGAGTGCATTGTTGCCAAAAAGCCAAAAGAGTGACTAATGACAAAGCATTTGAACGAAAAACCATGCATTATTATACGAAAATCCAACAACAGTATAATTATATAAATAAATAAGCAAATAAAAAGAGAATTTGATAAAAAAGTGTTGAACTACAGCGTGCAAATTATTCGCGTAGACAAAAAAGGGGGACGAATACGTGGTTTAAATTGTCTGGGAGGACAAATGTCCGTCGATTTGAGATACCGTGGTCTTTTGAATAAACTTACTAGTATTAAATACTTTTCAGTCTTTAAATATATATTGTTTATAGGAAAGGCTGTCGTACAGAACATTTCTAAGAACTTAGGGAAGGAAAGGTTACTGTTTATGGCGGACAGAAATCTGGAGAACTTGTTGAATAGCATGAAGACGCTTGGTGATTTTGGGGAAGACACACACAATTACAAAGCGCAGTTTGAGGGCGAATACAACATCAGCTTATCATCAGGTATTACAATCATGCTATCATAAGATCCATTATTAACAACGTCCGGTTAGCCCAATAGGTAGAGCGTTGGACCAGACGGTGCAGGTAGGTCTCTTCCGTTGTGAGTGTTCATGAAATCCCTTATACGGTCATTCGTACTGTACCTCTGCTCTGGCATGTACAAAAGTTATCAGTTTCTTGCGAACTGTAGGCAACTAGTACTGGTAAGCTGTTTGACGGCCTGCACGAGAACAGTGCGGTGGCTGAACTGTGCTCTGGCAAATTCAATGTGTCTTACTGTCCTGATCCGGGGGTAAACTACCAACACCACCACCACAACCACTTTATTATACTAGTATTATTCACGGATAAAGACAGCTTTTCTGCAGAGAAGTTGAGAAGTAGTAGCTTCACATTAATTGTAATTAAACTGATTGTAATTAAACTGAGTTGGTATATAATGGGAAGATGTGTAATACATGTTCCATAAATAATTATGGTGACAGTATTTAGTATTATACGCGAAAACAAATCACGAAAGAATTAAATACTGATGCTGTTGGAAAAGTGCCATTATAGCAGATAAAAGGGGTTTCTAGAAAAAAATTTTATTTCACCATGTAATATAAATTTTTATACAAAATGGAATCCTTTAAAACTTTTTTTCCGGAATTTTTTCAAAAAGGATATCCAAAAATATTTTTTTTTTTTTTATAAAATTTTTAAAAATACTTACGGAAAATGTTCACATTTTTTAATCAACCCATTTTAAATTTTCGTTCTATCTGAAAAAACAAGATAAAATGCAAAATCTCCCCAAAAAATCATAACACCCCTGCCAATCAAACCGGGCCCAACATTTAATTTTGGGCGTGTTGGGCTTTCTTTTTGGCATTTTGTATTTCTCTTATATTAGTGAAGACTTTGCAGAACAACACCTTTTTGCGAGAGCATTAATTTTTTTTATTGTTTTTTAAAGGGGTTTATTCAGAGAGGGGTTAATGCATTTGAAGTAGTTTGCTAAAAATTGAACCGGGTTTTAAGAGGGTTTTTATCCTAAAATGGTTTTTTTAGCCGCGTTTCAAGTACAATGTACTCGGTTAAGGAATTCTTAACTTTTTCCCCAAATTTCCGACCTAATATATTTAAAGTTATTTCAAATTAAAAAAATAAAAAGGGGAGAACATTTAAAAAAATACTACAAGTATGATGATATATAATTGGTGGTGTATACATGTATATTTTATTGTATATGCATTTTGCTCAATACGTCAATAATTTTCGTATTGAAAAAGCTCTCTCGTAGAATGTTTTTAAATTACAAATTCTTCTAAAAGTTTTGGTTTGGTGTTTTAGAATACGATTATTCTAAATGACTAAAGTTCATGTATTATTCATATAATGCGACTTAATTAACCTTGATATATGTTTTCATTGTTTAGCTCACTTTTAATATGTTATATAAAATTTATATCTATAAACATTATTTACAGATCATGGTACGAGTGAGGATAACACAGGTTCTGTATGTCTACCCGACGGCAAGATAATTCTTACCAGCACGCATCATAAAAGGCTCAAACTTCTGACCGCTAATTTCCGCGTGATTGACCATGTTGACCTTCCCGGCAAACCTTACGCTGTATGTTTAGCTAGTCCTGCAGAAGCGATCACCAGTCTTAGAGAAGAGAAACAACTTCAGTTTATCACAGTAGATAAGAAACTAAAAGTGTCACGACTGATGAAAATTGGCGTGTCATGTTATGGTGTTGCATGCAATAATGGAGAAATATTTGTCGCGTGTATTGGTGGCCAATACGAAAATAGACCGCAGCTGAGGGTGTACAATATGTCTGGGCGTCTACTGCGGGTATTTGAAAGGGATCCCGAGGGTATTCCAATATTTTCTTCCCCGAGAAATCTAGAGATAAGCCCCGACGGCACAATGATTCATATAACAGACAGAGAATCTGGCGTTATAACGATGGGCTTGTATGGTAAAATCCTGTCTAAGTACAAACGCCCCGATTTAGAATCTCCAAGAGGCATTGCCGTCGACCCCGACGGTAATATTTTTGTTTGTGGTCAGAATTCACACAATGTAATACAGTTGAATGCCGCAGGCGAGGAGGCTGGTGTAGTGATAAAAGACCGCACGCGGTTTTACAGACCACAGTCTGTATGTTTCATACAGAAAGGACCACGATCTTGGATACTTGTTACATTTCTGAAATCCAAGTTTGTTAAACTCTATGCACTAGCATAAATAACACGAAGTACAAACTGATAAATTGTCTGAAGAACACTATTATTAAGCTACATATTTTATTTCAAATTAAACCTGGCCAAAACGTGGTTTGTATGGTGACACTTCAAAGTTTTTATTATTCATTTATAAAAAAGGTCATTTTCAAATAGACAGACCCTGATTCAAAACCAAACTTAAAGGAGCTCCGTTGAGATTAATGGCCTATAAACCTATAATTTGAAATTCTTACAAGAAAAGTTGAAGCATTTAAAATGGAAAAAACCCGCATATGATTATAAAGAAGTATACCCAGAATTAAATTGAATATCGATTTTCTGTGTGATCTTTAGCAAAGATTCGAGTGAAAAGCTTTGAGCGCTTTTCACTTTTTTGTCTTTTTGCACAATAATAACGATTATTTAAGAAGAACAGGGTTAGGAAATGATCTGAAAATGTGCACACACATTATTGGTCCTGACCTGCATCAGACGATACACAAATCTCGGGAAATAGTTCCAGACCCGTCATATCACATCAGTGATGTCCCTTTAATCAACAAAATAAACAGAGCCAATAATAGCATCAATATAGACAACAAAAGATATTGAGACAATTATGTTTACTTTAACACTTCCATACATAGTCGTTGCCTATTGTACACCTTTTTTTAGAACATTTTAGTTATTCTACGTTAATTCACTAGCATTTTCCCTGATTTCCGTTAATATTATATAATATGTCCCTCTATTATTCTCTATTGTTCTCGTCAATGTTATATATTTAATTAATGGTTTATGATGAAACAAGTTGTATGCCAATTATTATAGATGTGAAATATATTCTATATTTTATGCGGAATATTTTCATAATACGAAACATTGTAATCTAAACGACCTGTGTATTCTAAAAATGTCCTTTTCAGTAATGTGTTTCTCAAACAGTATGGCACTTGTGGGAACGCTCGGATATTAAACTTGTTAGCAAAAAGCTCGTATCTGTTCTGTAATGTCTCTAAATCCTTAGGACCGAATGAGCAAATTCCACGGAGGCGTTTTCCGTTGCAAACATGTGACGTCTTTCCTATCCAGACCTTGAATCTTGCTATATAGTTGAGTGTACGATTATAATCATTAGGATGACCTGAAAAACAGACATAGAACACATAAGTGTCTAAGTAAAAGCAGCTTGCCTTCAGGTTGCTTATTTTTTCATAAAAATATTAAAAATAAATTAAGAAGTAAGATATTGCAAATTGACAAAGAAAGCAATTTACACATTGCAAATTGGAACTTAAAACCTTCCACTTCCCAAAAATAGAACAGGATATGTGAAAATAGACCTTACTGCGTTAGTCACACTGTTCAAATAGGGTGATAAATACTGCAAAAACAGCCAATAAACGCATAAAAACATGCAAATTTTTACGGGAATCTTGAATACTTTTTTACTTTTCTTAAAATAATAGAACATTTTTCCAATTTAGATTTTTTTGAAATATAGGCATGCAACTGTAATGATCGACTTTCAAAGATAGTTTTATCACAAACCCGTGTCGCTTTTGCGACTCCGTTAAAAGGTTTTTGCACGACCGTGCACATATTTTGATGTGACGTCATTTGCGATATACAAACCTAACGTAAAGACGCGCTTAATGATCTAGCGTTACTGAATAACTCACAATGGTTACTTCCCTTATGTTATTAGTTATAAAGATTTTTGACAGGTTATATGGCCCTATATAAACGGCTGTTCTTAAATATAACCCAAGTCGCTAGACGAGGGTTATATTGCAAAAGCCGTTTATATAGGGTCATATAACCTGGCTGTCAAAAATCATTATAACGAATTTATAATATAGCAAGCATCATTTTGTGGAGAAAAAGTAAGATTTCTTCATAAATCGACAGCAGTCGTGTAAATAAATCTATATAAACGTCACGATTATCCAATGAAAAGCGACGTTACAACCTTACAGTATTATAAAACACTACATTCTCAATCTTCCAGTTACCGCCCCTCCCCCAGTAATATACCTCCTAGTAATACCCCCTTATTTTGTTGTAAGCGTTGTGAGCAGTTTGGTATAATTTCTGTCGAAGATGTACATGTATTACGGATATAAATGGCTAAAATATAGGTTACCTCTATGTGACCCTGGTGCTTTAAGCTTCTGATTACAGTTAAGTGTTGAAAAAGCTATTTCATCTGAAGGTATCTTCAATTGCTTTGTCCAGTTTAAGACCGCTTTTGCTGTTTTATTGTAAAGAATAAATTCAACAAACTCTCGAGTTAAAACAACATGTGTTGAGGTCTTGTAGGCAGTAAGGCCGTAAGGTGGCTGTCCTGATATAAGTAGATCAGGCTTTCTGAAAACAAATATCATTTATCAAAACTATTTGCACTACTAAAACGTTTTTGATGGAATGTAAAAGTGTCTAATTTAGTATGTCAACAATCGTCATTCTTGAAATTTTCCCAATGCACGGTATCACTTTTTATATATTTTATATCTAAGTATTATTATATTGACTTTATTTTTTTATACAATGCACTTAGTGTGAATGCATTCCTTTATGTTTCTTACTTCAATGTTAATGAACAATCTATATTTTAATGGCGTGTTATCAATAAACTACTTGTACGCCGATTTAATCTACTAATGGATACCATATATTATATAAAGTACGGAAACGTTAAAGGGCCTCCAATAAGTGAGACCATGATGTGTAAGTCGACTGATTTTAATTCGATTTAATTATGCGTTTTAACACAAATCAATTTATTACATTCACCGAACTTTTTCCCGATAAATTTTTTGTCTAGGCATAAAGGTATCTTTTCGTCTTTTGTGACTCCTAGACTAAAAACTTCAAGCATTTTTAGAAAAAGTGAGTAAGAATGACAAAAAAATGGTATTGTCTTTGTGAATAAAATGAATTGATTTAAGTATATACATCGTATTTTCATTTTCCGTATTTTTACTGTAAAAAAAAATATTTTTCCCTGCAGCGAAACATATTTTCCATATTTTCACTGGTGCCTTGCCGGACAAATTTCTTTTAAATTTAGCCAGTACACAAAATTATATGGGAAGTCTTTCAAAAAGGAATGTCAAAGAGAGAAACAAGTTTATAATTTACAGAAAATTCAAATTTTTCCTATAAATACTGGATTTATTTTCATCTTGTGGCATGAAAATCGTCATATTTCACTCGTGGCTACCGCAATTTATTAAATATTCATTTTCTTAAATAGATAAATAGAATATTATATTCTTGTAGTTTCAATACTAAATTTATTGAACTCATTGAATAAAACAGTATGATTTTATTCAACTCGTTCAATAAATTTAGTATTAAACTACACTCATTCAATATCCTCTAACTATCGTGGCTTGATGTCGCGTATGATACTAAATACTGTCAACATAATTATCTTATACAACAGACATTCTATATCAATAATAGTTATAATACGGTGAATGGCGATTTGTGATTTTACAATATTATACAAATATTGACTTTTAAACTGGTGAATATGATGTGATATTTACAGAAAAAAAGAAGTTAATATTGACCGAGGCAGAAGCAAAAATTTACTTCTTAGCAAATAAGGGAAACGCATATATAGTAAAGATTAGTGCTATATACTCACTTTATACGGTCGCTACACTTCATGTTGTTGTAACCTCGGAGAGCAATAAGCACCTTGGCAATTTCGTAATTAGTTCGTAACGGGAATTCTTGCCCGGTTAGGTTAATAAAATATTTCCAAGACTTAGTTTTGTTCAAAAGGTCTTTCATGCATGACATTTCGGCTTCAACTACAGAAAAATTGCCCCAGTAAACATTCACAGGCTTCGTGGCTATGAACACGTTTTGGAAACAAGCTGCAAGTCCTCGCACACGATTTTTAAAAAGTTTAGGTGATTTATTATCAACGTGTATACAGTATGTGTTTTGTGGCTTGTAGATAGTTCGTAGTAAAAATTCAACCATTTGATAGTCTTTATAAACTAGAATACTATAAGCTATTTGAACATCTATTTCCTCTTGGAATGCGAAATAACTAACATCCTCTATATCCTTGTGAATTTTCCTGCAGTTTGGTACCGTCGAGTAAGTCTACAACAGAATGATAGAAAGGAGGATAAATTTTCTAATCTAACAAACCGTATGTCCATTACAATGTAAAAAGACATTGAACCTAATTTTAATGGTAAGTATTTAGTAAATACGCATGACACAATCTAGCCGTTGAAGAATTAATTAATTCTAGAACGTTAATACATAGGGTTTCGGGGGTGTGGAGCTCGAAAATATCACAGACGTTGAAATAAGATTTATTTCTTTTTCAAAACGGCATATATTAAGTTTTTTTTTTTACATATATGACAGGATTGACAAATAAACATTTCATTGAAATTTAAATGTGTTTTGAGCTCCACACCCCAAGTGTCTGTGGTTTAGAACAAAATCTTTTATACTATACAATATCAATAAAGTGAAACAAACAATCAATACATTTCACGTATTAAGGTTTGTTTATTGATTCCACTCCCATGCACATGTTTCATCAGGGATTATATTAATTTGGAAAATATTTAGGATAACTAGTCATACATTTAAAGCCAACCTTTAATAAAACGAAAGAAGAAAAGCATCAGCTAGTTTCATTTAAATTAACATTAGTATCTAATACTGTAATATATTTCAAATATATCACATATAAATGTGATATTTCTGAATATTATGACATTTAAAAAAAAACAGACCAGCAAACATACCAGTATCTTGTGACATTTAAGGCTAAACTTGTAAAGGAACGGAGAACTAGAGGTGTCTGCCTTTAAACCAAGGCATCGTGGTTTCGAACTTTGGTCATGTTTCCTCATAAGACAACAGTACTGGTTATTTCCAAGGAGCGAACTACAGAATTATTTCAACAATCTTAAAAGCGATCATCATGAAGCGAAAGTTAAAACTATATGAGCCGCGTCACCACAAAACCAACATAGTGCGTTTGCGACCAGCATGGATCCAGACCAGCCTGCGCATCCGCGCAGTCTGATCAGGATCCATGCTGTTCGCTTACAAGCCCTATTGCAGGTAGAGAAACTGAAGGAGAACAGCATGGATCTTGATCAGACTGCGCGGATGCGCAGGCTGGTCTTGATCCATGCTGGTTGCAAACGCACTATGTTGGTTTTGTCATGACGCGGCTCATATATGTTTAACCCTAAGTCCGTTGTCTGCAACAAACTCCTCCCATGTAGCCAGTGCAGACCAAGACCAGCCGGCTCATTCATTTGGTCTGCCCTGTTCGGTTTTCAATCATTACATATATTAGATAATAGTTTTATCTAGATTGGAAGAGTGCATGGAAGATATAAAGCGTGCTCAAGGTTAAACCTCTCTTGTGATCTTTTGTTACATCTTGCAATAAAGGAAATGTGTGAACAGTGCATGGTAAGTGATAGACTATAAGATAGTCATGTTCTTTACTAGATATATCACTGATCTTACTACATACAGCATCAGTTTTTATATGCCTTTAATTTAAACATAGTTTATTTCAAATATACCACTTACACTATACAGGCATGAAAAGACTAACTCCGGATTAAAGAATATTTGGGGTTTTCCCAGCTAATCCGTAGGTACAAGTTACAACTTTGAAAATGAGCGCATAATCTTTTGTGAAGGGTAGTACACATACTGATTAGCTGGGGGAAAACCAACATTTGCCGAGTTCCGGATAACATCAATTGTTGAAAAAGGATTGGGTTCGAAAGCTGAGCTTATAAAGGACTTAACCTGAGAATGCCTTACGTGCCTTTATTTGTCTTGCTCTGGAAGTCAAATTACAATGATATTACATGTACTTGTACTCACCTCTAATGACATATTTTGATTTGTTATTGTACAGTTGCCTAGATTTATCACTTTTCTTGCTAACGCTTCAAATGCCAAACTTGTTGAAACATCAACTGGGATAATTTTCCCTTTGTTCCACATATATAGTTTTTTACTTCCAGCTTCTGGTTCGAAATAGAACTTTCCTAACGTTTCTTGATTTTCAAAACGGAATATCCAACTCTTGTTATCTCTACTAAGATCAGCTATATTATTGTTTCGTAGGTGCTCAATATCTATTTGAATACCCCTTACAATACTGGAATAGCTATACATGAAATAAACACCAGTCAATGCTGTTTGTAGACACACAAGTATCATGAACGTAACTGCACGTTTTTTAATTCCTTTACACAAAGTAAATCCATCGCACAATTCAATTATCTTTGCAGATTTTAAATCAAAACTGTTTAACATTTCTGACATTATGTATACCGTACACGCGTAATTAGATACTATTCCTGTGCGACACATCTCCTAGATTTTAGTGTAGATTTCCCTACAGTAGTTTCATATTACTGATGATTTAAATCAATATCGTCCTCATTCTCGTTATAGTATATCGTTTCTTGATGAAGTATTGCAACAGTGTCAAAGATTTCTCTTGTATTACATTAGGAATAAAATTTTAAAATTATTTTAGATTAAATGATAATGTTTTAAAGGTAAATGATACACCTGTGATACATATATAATGTTATCAATAGCTAAACAGTCGACATACAATGACTTGTATTTTATTCTTCATGTAAGTCAAATATATAATTATGTCTTGTAAGATATTGATTAAGTTTGCATTTCCGTGCCTGATAAATACCAAATAAATGATATGAAGGTACGATACAGAAATGATTTGAGGATTGTCGATTGCTAAATGGACTAACCTTTGTCCAAAATTATTCTCTTTTTTCACCAATTTAATTTAGCACAATTAATGAATATTAAAATCCGATCACTGGTACATTTCGCAACTTTATATTAATACCCGCGCCATATCATCATAATCCATTTTGTCCAAAATGACGGATAAAACTTAACCCCTCTTATATATACAATAATAATGCCTGTGATATACTTCACTATAGACTGTACGACAAATATTGTTGCAATATGATCTTATGTTAAGATTGTGAATTATTGAATACTATTGTAATCTTTGTTAAATCTGTGAATACGATAAATTCGTGCATATTTTTAGATCAATACTTGTATTGACGCGTATTAATTTGTTAAGAAATACAAAAAAAAATATATTGTGGTATAATCCGCTTATCTTGACATATTTATAGCGATTGTTACCTTAAGTTGAATCACAAATAGTATTAAAAGTGACGAATTTATATTATTTTCTTTTAATTGGACTCCACTAAGGGTTTTTTGACATGACGGAACTGGAAATGATATTTTGAGATTGATGTTTAACTTGTTGTTTGAGATTAATACATGTTTTATTTATTGTATATACCAATTACTTGTGTGCAAAATTTCAGATCATTCGCTCACTCTGTTTTTCCTTAATGTCCAGAATTGAAAAGCGTGGCATTTAACTCTTTTCACTCATCGATCAAAACAAAAACACAAAAATACGATTTTCAATTTATTTGCGAGCTTTTGCATGTTTTTCTTTTTTAAGAACCCCTGCTCACCGTAGGGAACGTGTTACAGTATCGCGTTTTTCGGTTACAGTATAGAATTTTCAAGATGGAGGATTATTTATGGGAAGAGATGTAGGTGATTTTTATTCAGGTCCATACTACAAGTAGTTTAGTTTCTAAAAGATGTTTTTGTGCTTTGCTTGTAAGGAACAGAATCCGGTATCTAGTCATATATTTCTTCAGACCCTGCACCGCAGATTTATCTCTATATTGTCTCATAAATGTGCAGATTTGACAGTTTAAAAATTTGAATCGAGAGACCAACGCATTTTTTCCCCATTCCGACATTATTTAAGCATGCCTAGATAAAGTAAATCTACAAAACGTTAGTCCTTTGTGTTAAGAAACGTTTATAAAAGTAAATGACCAGTTGAACCTATTTTTCTGTTGGTAAAATGCGTTTGAAAAAATAAACAATGTTACAGTATAGAGCGAGGTTAATTTTGAAGGGTTACAGCATAGACCTAGCGACTTTGATCCAATTTTGTTACAGTTTATACCCAGATTTCGGTTACAGTTTAGATACTTGCCAAATTTCAAACAAAGTTCGTGTATCCATTATTTTTATGAAATAACTCATACCTTTCTATTTAATACATTCTTGAAAGGTTGTATTACTTTTTTCTTCAGCAGAAAAGTTATAGTTTGCTATTTTTCTTACTTTAAGTTTCAGATTGAGACTTTTTGCAGAATAAGTAATGTCCTAAGTAAGGACTGTTTTCACGACAACAACAGTAACGAAGAAATATTATTGCTTGATTTCATTACACATTATAATAATGCCTATTAGTAATAAAATAGAGAAAAAAGAATCCTTAACAGAAGTCCAACACGGAAAACATGAAAATGTTGCAGGATCAGTTTGATTAAACCTGTTCATGGACGGTAGTGGTAACTGCAAGCTACCGTCCAGGCCTCCTAGCACCGGCTTCAGCAGAATTCACATTAAACATGAACTGGTACACTTTAGATTTTTTAACATCTGTGAATGTGTTCATATGGTGGTTATCATGGAACCTTCAAAGTGACACGTTATTGCCATTCTATGAAAAGCGGCATATTACCCCCAAGTTAAAAATGTCGTGTGCCCTAAACGAGAATACAATGAGTGAAACTAAATAAAATGAAATTTTGAGAGGGGATCGGAGGTTATGAAGCCTGCATACCATAGATAAGCTGTCAAAAGACACAATTAACAAGCAGGAAATACCCTGAGAATGATTAAACAGTGAGCAATATTTCAACCTTAAATTGTATTTTAAGTTGGAATTTCCATCTACCATAATGTATTTTGTAAGTATTTAAAAGGGTTTGTTACGTTTGGCTTTCTTGGATTTTAAGTTTCAACGACACTGAGGTCATGTGAAAACATTCCTGCTTTAGTGTAAAGAAAGACCCCAGATACCCTTTGTGAACATTTCAGACACGAGCGGACACCTGACTAGAACCACCGACCTTCCGTAAATTAGCTTGATAGATTCCTCACATACAAAGAATCCAAAGTCATGATTGGATTTCAACTACAGCAGTAAATGAAGATGGCCTTATCCCGACTCTACCACTTTTATGTACCTCAATCAGCCTCACTAGAGAAGATATTGTAATTGTCTGACCTTAATTTATACTTTCAATATTATTTTCTTTTTCAAAAACATGAAAACTGTTATACAGAATGTCTCTAATAAGAAAAAAACGAGTTTCAATTTAATAATGACAAAATAATCATAAATTCAACAAAGAAGCATTCGAAATGACGCCATGATCATGATTTGATTTGAATGCTTTTGGTTCGAGACGAGAAGGGTCTTTAAACATTGCTTTTTTCAAAATCTTTGTTTTGGGTTTTCGTGTCCCCGATTGCAACCGAAACCATTTGAACAACTACATGTAATTGGTAGAAAGTCATGTAAATTTCAACTCATTTAGTCAAGTAGTTACTGAGCGGTTGAGATTGAACACACATGTGTACGACAGACGGACGAATAGACATCGGGCCAATAAGCTCACAGAGATTTAAAAGTCTATGTAACATTCATACATTTTACCTAGTATATATAGAAAATACCGAAGTCTAAACTGTAACCGAAATCTGAGTATAAACTGTAACAAAATCGGATAAAAATCGCTAGGTCTATGCTGTAACCTTGCACAAATAACCTCGCTCTATCCTGTAACATTGTTTATTTTTTCAATCGCATTTTACCAACAGAAAAATAGGTTCAACTGGTCATTTACTTTTATAAACGTTTCCTAACATTAAGGACTAACGTTTTGCAGATTTACTTTTTCTAGGCATGCATAAATAATGTCGAAATTGGAGAAAATGCGTTGGTCTCTCGATTCAAATTTTTAAACTGTCAAATCTGCATATTTATGAGAAAATATAACGATAAATCTGCGGTGCAGAGTCTGAAAAAAATTATGACTAGATACCGGATTCTGTTCCTTACAAGCAATGCACAAAAACATTTTTTAGAAACTAAACTACTTGTAGTATGGACCGGAATAAAAATCACCTACCTGTCCTCCCAACAAATAATCCTCCATCTTGAAAATTCTATACTGTAACCGAAAAACGCGATACTGTAACACGTTCCCTACGGTGCTGCTGATCTTTGTAAGAAATTAAAAATTTATGGTTTTTTTTATGATTTTGAACCTCAGCCGGGTACCTTTTAACTTTGGCTAAAATTTTTCTTTTCTATTGTAAGCTCATAATTTATAAGTTTAATATCGACTGGAAACCAAATTTCGGACTACTGACAACGTTTACGTTTACCCTAGTGATACCAATTATAATTATCAAAATGTTATTACAACAATGGTAACAATATTGATAATCTTAATAAATCATAAATTAAACAGATAATGCATTTTCTTCTTTTTGCAAACTAAAGCATTTGTTTATATTATGACTTATTTTTCTCTCTAACTTAATTACACAGACTTTATTTGACAAAGATCGGACACTATCGTATAGCTAAAAATTGTAATTATTAAAGTTCGTAGTTAAGGTAACATTTTTTACCAGACCGAGAAATACCTTATCAACGGAAGGACATATTTACATGTACATGTACATGTATGTATAAGTATACGTACAGATCTACCATGATAAGTTTATGTCTAGACCTTATTTGTCAGTTTAATCAACTCTTAATAAATAAATATTTTCCTTCTTCTTTTTTCTTTCTTTCCATTTCTGGTTTTGTTATGCGATATGTTATGATAACAATGTTAGTAAGAACAGTTGCTGGAGGGATACTATACGGGAGAATATATATAACCTTACAGGAATAGATATAACCGGTTAATAAAGTGCACGGGTCATATTGACCTATATACACGAATATAATATTCTATTTATCACAGAACGCTTAACACATTAAAAAATTACAGACACGAATACATTTTTTCTCCTTTAAAAAGGGCAAACATGAGTGTTATAAATTTTAAACAATGTTTGAAGGATATGTAAGATACTTTTTTATCGAAAGAAAATGACGCTGATTGTAAAATTATTTATCATAAAGGTGGGAAAATGTTATAAAGATATAGGTATTTTGACTTTCTTTAAAATACAAGATCACTTTATATCTGTACTAACTGGCAAAAAGCAACAAAAGCAAAAGGATGGTTCTGGTAAATGGCCAATGATCATGAGGATCGTTTTGGAAATTTTAACAGGTCACGAAAAACAAAATAAAGATTAAAATACGATATTACTTAAACAAAAAAATAATCAATCTGTAAAAGAAAAAAATCGGAAAATATTATTAACGTTACTGTACAGTACAAGTCTCGG